GTCCAACATTACACTTAGGTAGCTTATATAAGATCAGAGAGGCCAGAGCTTGCAAATTTTTCCTTCTCATAAGCAGAACGCGTCCTGCTCAGGTGCCCTTTTTCACCCATACCACCCCTGAACCACAGACATACCACACTGAAAAGCCTTTGCAGGCATCGAAGGCATCTAGATGCAGTGGAAAGAGCGGAATTTGGAGCCGGGCAGACCTGTATTTCTAACAATGGGGCTGACACGTACCACCTGTCTTAGGACCCAGCTCAGCAGGCAGGGATCTGAGAAGTATCAGTATGTACCGAGGTCACTTCATTCAGACAATTCAGTCACCTTTGCCCAGCTGGATGAAGCTTAACACAAAGGACAAGAGCCAGAATACATTTTGTGATAACTTGTTTTCTTCTCTTTAGAAAAAAAAATATGTACAAAAAAAAGGTAAGAAGAGTCGATGTGGAAGTGTCAAGAAAACATTCGGCTAGGTACAGACAAGGAGGCTCCCCTCTCGAAGGAGTTACATATCCGTTATTACCATGCTAGAAAAATGAGATGCGGTTAAAATTCCAGAACGATCAAAAGCCACCAGGGAAAGCTGTTGCTCTGGGCTCTGGGTTGTAGAAGTTCTGAAACCCTTTCTGTAAAATAATACTGTGCAAACTGTAAAATATTCATTTTCATATAAAGTCCGTACAATACGATATACAAAGCCGCTGAGTTGACGGGGAGGCTGGTGCTGGCTGCCTTTGGGGAAGAAGGCTGCAGGGTCGCCCACCTGCCCAAGGACATAATCCCAGGGAGGGCTTGGGTTTCCTAGATGGGAGAGACCACTGTCTAAGAAACCATCATGTAATCCCACTCCGCTCACATTCAGGATTTTCTGCCACTTGTGTAACTAGGTGACTGCATTAACATTTCACTTGAACTTGGAATGCAATAACATGTGCAGAGAGCAGAACACAAGGTTCTGGTTGAAAGTAATGTTGCTTCTGCACAATTGATTTTTGAGGTTTTCCATTAACCAACATTGTCCTCCCCGCAACTCAAAAGGTAACTTTCAGGGATATTCAAAAATTCTGAAGGAGGCAGCAACTGTGGTGATAAAAGATCAAAGTGAATTGTTATACTAATTTTATTTCTGTGTTTATAAAACTGCGAAAAGAAGGTTTGTGTACAAATATCACAAAACAACATCAGTGGTTGAATAAATGTGGTTCTTCGATGCACACTTGAACAAGAAGAAAATTCTGTCGGTTTGAAATTCTGGCATGAATATATGAAAGCTGACCAAAAAAAAAAAAAACCAGGGCAAGCTACATCACTTCCTCATACAAAAATGTACAAAACATTAGCCTCTAACTAGATAAACATAATACTTGTCTTCACAGTTTGACAGCGAGCAACTGTGTGTCTGGAAGTATCGAATTGGTGGGTGATTGAACAAAAACAGCTCCTGACGCAGCAGCCGTCTCAGGTAACTTCGGTCATGGAAGCAGAGTGATTCTGCAAAAACAAGCAGACACCATCTTGGCATTCGGTTGATTGACACGTGTACACACTCGCTTTTTTCCTGACTATCTCTTGCTTCCCTCTCTCCTCGAGTGTGCGTGGGCGGTTCCCTCTCGTCTCCACGGCCTCTCAAATTGTTGCCTTTCCTGATTTTTAACCCCAGATTATTTTTTTGTCTAATTTTGTTACCTATATACTTCTGCTCTGTATTATGTTTACTCAACTATATTTCAGTATGAACATTTAGGATCTCAAAAGTAATTTTTAGCTGTATCTCACCTATTTGTAAGGTAATGTTTTTAATATAGGACAGTTCTAATTTTTGAAAAATTTCCATGTTATTTATTCTTCGAATCATGAGTTATATAGAAGTGAGTTTAATATTTTCAAATGTATAGAGGGTTTTTTTGTTTGTTTTTGGGTGTCTTTGAAATTTTTTTGTAGAGTGTATAATCTGTGTGATCGGTTTTTAAATTTCTTGAGACTTGCTTTGTAGTCTTATATGTAGTCTGTTTTCATAATTTCATGTGTTTTTAGAAGGCTTGTATATAATGCACGTTAGATCAACTTTATTATCAATGTCTTTACTATATTTTGTTTGCTTATTAATGACAGAGGGAAATGTGTTAAAAGATCCTACTACAATTGCAGCTTTTCCCATTTTCCTCATAATTTTATCATTTTTTGTTCATAAACCCCGGTCTCTTCTGTTTACATCGTTTACACGGATAGCTGGCCCTTGAACAACACGGGTTTGAACCGTGTGGGCCCACTTCTAAGCAAACTTTTTTCCAATAAATACTATATATGGATTTTCTTTTCCTTTTTGATTTTCTTTATAACGTTTTCTTTTCTTTAGCTTACTTCATTGTAAGAACATAGTATATCATACATTTAACATAGTAAATATGTGTCAATCAACTTTTATGTTGTTGGTAAGGCTTCTGGTCTACAGTGGGTTATTAGTAGTTAAGTTTTGGGGGACTCGAAAGTTACCTGTGGATTTTCAACTGCGTGTGTAGGGGGGTCAGCCCCTCAGTCCCCCTGTTCAAGGGTCAACTGCACTACCCCACCTTTTGCAGGCCCAAAGCTTTCTCTTTTGTTTGAACTTAAATTCCCTGGTCCATGGAATTGGCAAATACCTTAAGAAACTGTGGCTACAGCTCTAAATGATTATCACAGGTTTCTGGATTCTTGTTTGAGAGCTCAGCTACGAATTGTAGAAACTGAGTATTTTGTGTTTTTTTAAGGTGTTTTGATGTGCCATATTTGTAAAAACTAAGATTTGATGCATTTTTGCATTAATGTGAAAAATAACTTCTTTTATGTTTTCAGTTGTATAGTGCGCTTTATTTTTGAAAATTGTTTTTTGGTTAATATTTCATGTATATGTTTATAAGGTTCCATTTAAGAGTCAGAGGAAAATATAAAGTAATTCAACCCTCTAAGATAACTAAGTGGGTGACTCTGGGTAGATTTCTTTAACTCTCCAAGTCTTCTACTTATAGGAAGTCTGTGATATTATCACAAGTTTAGTGTGAAAGGGGCTATTCACATTCTGGGAATATTTTCTTAAATATAATTTTTCACCCCAGAATTGCTGAATTAGCATCTCTGGAGTATCTGGGTCTCAGCATAGATTGAATTCTTTTGTGTGCCTGTATGCGTGTTAAAGAAAAAATGTGTTCTTTCCCCCATCTGGAGATGAGAGGAGACTTTACGCCACACCCGGAGCTGGTTAAGGCAACTGTTCCTTCTCTAGTTTCTTTGTTAATATAAACAGTGTTCAACATGGAGACAAAGCGCTTGAGGCTAAAAGCTGCTCCGGTCAACACGGACCTGGCGATGCGGAGCCTGGGTCCACCTGTGTCTCTAGGATCACAGTGACTCCACAGGCCCAGAAACTAGTGCTTTGGAGACTTGGCCAGTTTTGTTTGTTTTGCACTCTGTAATTGCTTACTTTTCGGTTTGTCTTTAGTGCTTGGGAAAGCTTTTAGAAAAAGGCATCCCATTTCCATCGCCCAACTAAGGGGAAAAATCACAGACGGCAACTACTCAAATCCGAGCTGATGTTTTAGAGAGGAAAAAGCACGTGTTTGCTCAGAGGGCTCCACGTGGCAGAGGGGAAAGGAAGTCTGTGCAGCTCAGTCCAAACACACTGTGCCCTCTGGCGTGTTTCCATTCTCAGTGCTAAGAGGTGTGGATTTCAAAATGAAATTCCCCTTGAATGAAATGTGAGACCACATTGTGTAGCAAGCAAGGCCCTGAAGAAATAGATGGGTCTATGGTTTTAATTTTCAGTGGGTGATCTTGGGCATATTACTTAAAGTCTTTGTGCTTTACTTACTCCATATATAAAACAGAATAATAATTCCAATTATCGTAAGATTGAATGTGTTGGCTTGCAATAAACACCAAGTTTCTTTTTGTGACCAACACGTAAAAGGTATAGTCTCCCAAATAACCATGTAGGGACATTTAACACTAAAAGCAGGTAGGCGGTTACTTGAATCTTCCACACTTGGTATGGAAGGCATCACGTGAGAGCTAACGACTTCCACACAGCTTCCTGTGGCTTCATTTTGACTCGCCTGCAGAAGTCCTATTCATAGTTTCTCATATTTCTGATTTCCATGAAGGTTCAGATAATGACTATGGTCCAATTTTAGGTTCTTGGTTTTGACTCTAGTGTCTCGTTCAGGTTTTGGTTTCTGGCCTGCATCTATCTATCCACCAGACATTATTTCACACTTATCGAATGCCAGGAAATGTGGAGAATAAGTAAGATATAGTTCAAATACTCAAAGATGTCTAAGTCCTTGAGGGAGGCAGATAGGAGGGGATGCTTTTGGCTTTAATTGTGAGGGTTTTCTAGCCCAAGCCTGGTACTCAGGAAAGCCCTCTAATTGTATCTGGATGAGGTGATCTACAAGAATACAAACATGTGAAAAGATCTGAAAGAAGTTCCACTACTGCCTGTTGTGAACAATAAATCAATATATTATTTAAAACAAATTTTTAAATCTATCTTGTGAATAGTGGTTTTTGAAACTTTGTTTGGCATTTCATTTTTCAGTGTAAGTGGAATCCCTCAAAATGTGGCCTGGATGTTTCTTGGCCTGTTCAACTAACTCTTCGGGGCCCTATGGAAGAAGAGAGAGGGGAGTCTGGAGAAGGCTTCGACAGAGGGCAATGGCCGAGCAATGTTGGGAGGAAGGGTGGGTGGAAACGAGGCGTCCTTGGACCTGGCTGTTCAGGGTGAAGTAAACAGCACTTACAAGAACACAGAGACTGACATATTTGTGGAACTAAGCAAATATTTCAGTTTGCCTTTTAAACTGACCTTTGTCTGTAATTGCCTCACCTCAAAAATAGAGGGAACCACTCTGATCTCACCAATTTTAGAAACATCATTAGATAGGGAAGAAAAATTACTGAGAGTCTCTTACACCATTTCATTACAAGGTATCATTATTTAAGCTAATTTGCCATTCCACCTGCATCAACACGCTATAGATAAATAAACCAGTAATAAATTTTTCAGTACTTTACTTCTAATTAGAACGTTAAATACTGTATTTTATCTTAAAACAGATTAAATGAAAATAAACAAACAAATAAACTACTTGGCACTGGACTTAATGGAGAGTCCTAAACATTTTTCCTGGGGTGCAAAGAGCTTTATTGGGTTTTCTTCTGGGTTATTGATAAAATTAGATAGGATAGCTGTCTTAGAGAGACATCTGATCTATAATAACTGTTAGTGAGATAGTGAAAAATATTTTTACTCTATACTGATGTGAAGCACATGCTAATTCCGGGGGGAGGTGATCTGCTTTTCCCTTGTAGGACCTGTACAATCCTGCTGTACAAGATTTCAAGATATACAGATTACAAAAACCCTGTTTTATTATTAGCCACACCCCTTTCTGTCTGCTTAAACAGCTCCCCATCCAGCTCTCTGACATGCTACGTGCGTGGCCTTGGACAAGTAGTTTAACTTCTTGATCTTTCGTATTCCTATCTTTTACCTGGAAATGGGAATTCTACTACTGGTTCAATAGGTTTTTGTTCAAATAAGAATGTAGTCGTAAAGCACCTGGAGAACTGTGAATAATGTGCGTGAATAATGCCATCTGCCCAGGCTCCTTTCAGCGAGCGAGCCTCCTCCAGGGCGCCTTGTCTTCTCAGATAGAACAGATTTTTGTTCATCTGTGTTCACACGGCGGATTTTGGGCCTCTGACTCAGCATTGCCCAGTTACGGACACTCACTTGTGTCCTTTCCTAATCATCTGTGAGTTCTTTCAGGGCAAGGACGGTGTGGCTAATTATTTTCTGTACCCCTGGCATGAGACAAGGTCCTGGTGTAAGTGAGTGACCAGTAAGTATCGCTGTATTGAATTTTTGATGGTTGTCATCAAAACAGATCCAAAAGGACACTAACATCGATTTGTTGATAACCTTTTAAATGTGCTTCTAGTTTACATCTGTCACTAGATATAATAAAACCTTTTTTCCCAAATATTGTCCTAATTCATAAACCAGCTTGACTTCCCACACGATTGGTCCAAATTTCCTAACTGTGGAATTAGACTGGAGGCCAAGGAATCCTAAAGCAGATGAGGCTTAAGTTCGACATTACTAAGAACTTCCAGAGGATTCGTGATGGCCAAGCATCAGAATAAATGCAGGACTAATTGAGGGGAGCTGTGAAGGTCTTGAGGGCCTTCGTTATCTCGTGTTTTACTGCTGCTGGGTAGATGCAGCGGTGTCCTGCTTTCGAGAAGACCAATGGATCGGCTGGCCTCCCAAGAGAACAGGGCTGAGCCTGGGGATCTGGTTTGCTGAAACTGCTGTACGATACCTGTGCACTCAAGGTCTCCAGAGGGCTTTCTATCCTTGGAAAAGCCATCAGGGGCACTCCACGGGGATCCTCGGGTTTGGGTTTGGAAGTAGACTCTGGCGTTCCTTTAAAGTTATGGACCACACACATTCCCTGCAGGATGAGGGGGTAAAAAGATTGGGTCAGACTATAGCCATCGATGCCTGGCCAGCTCTGAGGGTGGCAGGCCTTTCCCCTAGAATGCCACTGCCATAGCGACTTGTTTCCTTTGAGCCAGTGGGTAGGAACTATGGAAATACCCAGGCCATGGTCTGGGGTGTCGGCTGAGCACATTCTCAGTGCTGAGGAAACATCTGTTGAGTCACCAGATGGTCAGTGAGAACCAATCCACACATCAAGCCTGTTTCCTAACCTGTAAAGTAAGAATAATATGATACCTACCTCATCAATCTGTAGTGATGAAAAGACACGATAATGCAAAGCACCTGATGGTTAACACCTAACATTGATGGAGGGCCACTCTGTGTCTGGCGTTGTCTCTAGAATTTTACTTATTTCATTGAACCTTCTCAACAATCTTACAAGAAAGGTGGTACCGTTATCTCCCAACTTATATGAGGAGGTACAGAGAAGCTAGATAACTTGCCCAAGGTCATAAAGAGATTTAAACTCCATAGCTAATGCTATGACAGTATTTTGCCTCTTAACAAGTGCCAAACATACAACAAATACTCAAGTCTTTGACTCCTACCTAGGATGATCATCCTTAAATTATGTGACCACTCTTTGCTTGAGAGTACATAAGTCATGCGGGACACTTTTCTTTCATTGCTTCTTTTAAAAAACTTTCCTTCTAAATTACTATCCACTTTATTTCCTACTGAAGCTCCTTCATACACCAGTCTTTCTTTCTTTCTTTTACCATCAACCCTGCTTCTTTTGCCCATATAGAGTTTATCTGTTTTTTTTCCATTCTCTCTCTGCCATTGTTCTGCATCTTTGTTTTTCTATCTGTGCCTTTGAATCTTTCCTGTTGTTCTTCAAACCCTGCAGGACATTTACATAAATGTTCACTACTTTCCTCTATCTCTGCTTCAACTTCTTTCCCTCACAAAACAGGAGAAGTGGAAGGTGTTGAAGCTGAAGAGGCTGGAGTTGAAAAGACTCAGGTTAGTTTCATACCTAATTGGTTGTATGGCCATTGGGCAAGTTACTTTTCTTTGAGCCTCACTTTCCTCATCTATAAAATGAGGATAAGAATATTGTTAGGGTTGTTCTGGGAGCACCTGATTTGCTGTACAGAAAGAGGAGGGTATGTAGTAATTGCTCAACTAATAATCTCCCCTCTTCCCCACACTTTCATCTTCATAGGAAACACAAAACAGTAGTGAACATAGGCTGCGAGTACGCTCCTATTCTCTGACTCTCCTCTCTGCTTCTCCCTGTCTCCTCTCCAAGTCTGCTCTGGAATGCTTCCAAGTCTCTTGTATGACATCCTCCCCCACCCACTTCCCAGCTTACTGCGTGTGCACCTGTGCAAATGCAGACACAGGGCGGTCTGTCTCCTGTCGGAGCGACTCAACAGCAGGTCTGGGTCTTATATAAAGATCATTTGTGGAAAACAAACTTTGACTTTTGACGTCAATTGGGAAGCCAACAACAGTCCAAACAGCAACTGAATGGTAGTGAGTCACTGAGAGAAGGCAAGTTTAATGGTAAAGCAGAATTTGTGTATGGGGCCTGAGGAAACCCAAAGGGTTTGATAGATTTCATCCTGTAAAGGTCGCATGAAATCTCTCTCTCCCACACTGCTCTTTCTCTCCAGCTGGGGCTGGCTGGCTCCAGGACTGATGGACAGCAAGATTGTCTGGCTTTCCTTTTGAGCCCTCTCCTTTGTGCACCTTTGATGCCTCTTTGAAAACCCTCTCTTCTCTGACATCACCTTTAGCTTTTCCTTCTTTAAAGAAAGCAATCTTAGGAAAATATCCCTGTGAGGTGTCTTCAGGGTCCCCCTCAGCACCACTTTCCCTGCTGCTGCACCCAGAGAATTTGCATCTAAGTCCATCTTTCACTACAGAAGAAAGGCCTAGATTCATTCAAAATAATTTTGAATTAGAATGGAGATTCCCAATCAGTGTTCTGAATGAACTTGAGCCTTTTTTCTGTGTATCTTAGCACGTAAAAAACACTGGAAAACTCTGCATGAGTGGTTGGGAGAGCTATGGGGGTATTTTTTATGTTGGGGAGGACAAGGAGGAGTTAGTGCATAGGACTGTGAAATTCTTCCATGTGAGATGCCAGTCTTAATGAGTGCTTTGGACCAGAAAGGGCAGGACGGAAGGAGGGACATCCAGACTGTGATGGCTTCAGTCTCAGAGGGGAAGCTGGCTGAATACTGTTAGGGATTCATTTCATGTGCAACAGGTGAATCTCCAGCCCTGGTGATTAACTGTAAATCTTTTGGGGTTAATTTTAAGTCCTTGAAGATTAGTAAAAAATCTGCACCTTATGCTATGCCCATGCAATGGAATACTATACAGAAGGAAAAAGGAATAAATTGTTGCTACATGCTACGATGTGAATGAATCTCAAAATAATCATGCTGGGTGAAAGCTGCCAAGAAAAAAGAAGACACACTCTATGGTTCCATTTACATGAAATCTGAGAAACGACAAACTAATATAGAGTAACAGAAAGGAGATCAGTAGTGGCTTGGGAATGAGGGAAAGGGGAGGGTGGGCAGGAAGATATATCTGTATGTCAAAATTGATCAAATTGTACAGTTTACATGCCATTTGTTATAGCCCTTTCACACCTGATCAAACAGTAAAAAAAGACAAAAACAATAAAAATTAACCTCTTCCTTTCCAATCCAAGATTCCCTAGGTGAGCAGATAGACAGGCCCCTATGTATTTGAGAAACTAAAATATTATCGGCATTGTAATGATACAGAGAAAACTGTATTAATCACGAGTCCAGGAATATTATTATGTGTGGGTGAGAAGCCACTTGTAGCAGAAATAAGATGCCTGAGAGGCATGTTCGGGTAATAATAGAGGCCTTTGGAAAAAGTCTGGGTGTGGTCAGCTGAGAGTCCTCATGTTTCTGAGTGGGATATGCAAGCCTGGGCCCGAACTCAGGGTCCTGGAATGCTGGAGGAGGGGCTGCCTGCTTCCACCAGGGGTCCTTTGTCTCTGTTCTATCCCCAAATAACACTGAGCTCTGCTCCCAATGCATCCCAAACTAATGTTTCAGAACAATGGTTCGGAGGTATGCCAAGTTAGTAGTCTGCTTAGCCCCAGTCAGCCCCAAGCACAGTGTTGAAGAAAGCGGACTAAGCCATTCTCCCTGGGCACTCCTCTCCCTGATCCCTGGAAGAAATATAGCAATCATATTTCCGACAGACAGGGTACTTTAGAAGTCATTCTTGCAGCACAAGCATACATAATACTTGGGGAATAATTACAACTCACAAAGGTTGGGACCAGATGAACCTGGGCCTAGACTGTGAGGTCTGGGCGCCCGACTCACCAGGGTCTTAGGCAGCCTGTCAGAGGGCACGCGAAGGGAGAAGGTAGAAAGAGGGAAGCTGACCTACCAGAAACAGGGCTACAGCAGTGCCCAGGATGAAGCCTGCGATCACATCGGAGCAGTGGTTCCTGTACTCGGAGACCCGGTTGAGGCCCGTCAGGAAGGCCATGCAGAGGGTCCCGAGGCACAGCACTGGCTTGGCCAGTCGACTGCTCTTCGTCTTGATTGTGCTTGTGATGTACATCTGGAAGAGGACAGAGACCGGGGAGTGACCGGCAGCCTCCTCGCACAGTGCACACCCATGCATGCACACACACACTCCGGCACTCAAAAGCGGGCTGTGCCAAAGCAACTGCCCTCAGATGCTCGGGAAGAATTTGGGTGGAAAACTAGTGCAGCGAGAACAATGGACAGATGTCCATTAATCATGGTGTTTCTGGGGGACATGTGGACAGAAATGTGGTGACATGCAGAATGACCACATGATAATGATCAGACTCAGAAGACGCAGTTTTCACGCCACAGGCTGAAGCACCATTTTGGGTATTAAAGAACCCATGTGATACGATGCTCAGATACCAAATAAACCTTCTACAAGTATGAAGTTTATGAAGACCAGATAGGCGAGAGGCCGTACACTTTACTTTTTGTGTCCCCCATACTTCCAGCTGATTCTTCACACTTCTGAGCAATGAAAACAAAAGCCTTTACTGATGAGTTGATTGACCAAATTAGAACTTTTCAACCGGCATGTCACAAAGATTTCAGTTTTGCTGGGAAACTGACATCCACATTCCTTGGGACAAGTGTGATCAGCTCTATCTGTTCATTTACTCTAGCATATTTTCAAATATTAATTTTTTAAAACTTATGTCATGACATATAAAAGGTTGGGAAAACCTGAACTAACTAAAGAATGACTAGTTATTTTTGAAATTTAGGGAGCCTGAATTTATGTGAGCTGTTCTTTTAAAACATTTTAATTTTTCAGTTACAGTTGTAATTCAATATTATTTTACATTAGTTTCAAGTCTAATGTGCAGGCTTCCTTATTTCACTGTGAGAAGCAGATGAATGTTCCTGGGCTCAGGCATCCAGTGTGTCCCGGTAGCCTCGTTAGGAAGATGTGCCTGTTTCAAGTAACACACTTAGTTCACCTTTGGTAATGGTTACAAGAAACCAGTAGAGGGCATTATTGATTTATGACGTCTTTAATAAAAGTGATAAATGAGTTTGCAACCCTGAAACACGGTGTGCTGATACTTAAATTATAGTGTGTAGTATGGTTACGTGGCCAGAGTACATACAAGTTCAAATAGATGCATTTTGCAATATTACAATGGAAATTGTTAATTTCCTAGAATGATGCTTCAACACTGGTTTGAATACAGGACAATGGGATTCTATTTATTATTGTATGTAGCTGATGCCCTAGAAGACTGTGGTTAGATCGGAGTGACATCAATTAGAGCGTACCAGGAGAGCATTCTAAGGCTGTGTGAAAAGTGTTATGTAGCATCTATACTAGGTATATTTGTTTTTATGCCTCTGTATTTTTCAAAATATAACCTTTATACATCTTTCCAATTCAATTACAAACTATTAAGAGCATGGGGCCTATAGTTATTTAGTATTCTTCAGACTATTAACTAGCACTTAGGAAATATTTGTTGAGCAATTTCTGAAAGCACTTCACACATAATAGGGGCGCAGAATTGTTTGCAGAATTAGAATCTTATATCAGGGCTTATCTGATGATCGTGAGGCATAATTTGAACTGGGTTTGTCTGAATCCTTGAAAATGTGCTATGGCTGCATCTATTCTGGGTGAGCTGACTCTGCTTACTTCTTTCTCTCCAAAATAAATTTATATCTTACTTGATGAGAGTTTATTATGACAGATTTAGCTTTATAATGGTGTCAAAAATTAATTTCACAGAGCAATGACTTTGGTCTGATAAAACAAAGAAAAAGGTGCAAGAGCACATTGCTTCATATAACTTAGGTTCTAGATAATTTAAAGCAAATGAATATTTTGAAAATTAAAACAATATGTTGAATGCCTGACAGGACTTTCTTTGCTTAAAAAAAAAATACCTGCCATGGATTATTTTATTTCATTGAAGCGAAGAAGCCTCACTGAGCTCACACTGAGCTATTTGTATATTGAAGCTTCTGTATTATTTATGTTCATGTTTCCGTAATGTGAGGGTAGCTGAAATAAGCTTTTATCATGTATTCGTTAAAGAGGAGATCTAAACAGAGTAACTAGAAAGACTCATTTTGGATAATTGTTGGTTCACAAATTGGTCCTATGGATGTGATCCTGTAAATGGGACACAGAGGAACATTTGTTTTAAAGAGACTATTTAGCAATTTATTTTAGAGTCTACTAAAGAGACCAGACTGGTTGTCAGCCACCGCTTCTCTGCCCTGAACGTGTAATTCAGGGTAATTGCAGGAGTGCTCCTCCATCAGAGGCAGACTCTGGGGGGGGGGGGATGGAATCATGCTCCCCTGGGGGTGGGGGGCATGCTCAGAATCTCTGGGAAGAAGGGACAGTTTCAGTTTGACAGGGGTCTTTCCTCTGTTTTCTTCTTCCCTCACCTTTCATTGAGAATCGCTATACCACTCATTTCCTGAATATGAGACAAGATGCGGCAAGGAAAAGCGACGTTTTCCATCAACAGCTCTGCTTCCATGGTAGACGCGCACGACACCCAGCCTCTGAGCTCAGAGTTCCTAACTCTCAGTTCTATGCAGTTGAAGGGACTGAAATTTTTCCACCCTGAAGCTGCCTTTTTGGGATATTGATATTAAGCTGTTTATTAAGAAACAGGACTCAGAAAGAATCTTTGAATCTCCCCAACTTTCCTGCCCAAGAGATTCAGACAGAGAAACCTGCATCAGGAAAGAGAATTTAGGATGCTCCCTTAGCCAAGCTTGAATTAAATATGGTAAACAAAGGGGTTCAGGCAGAAGACTATTAGCTAGATACACCTCTGTATCCCCTTGTTTCTGAGTTGTTTGGCAAGGATTTTTCTGCCACATGTGTTCCACTTTCTTTCGACTACTTATAAATAACCCACTCTCTCTCTTTTTGAAAATTAATTTTGGAGGGGGAGAGAGAGGGAGAGCTCTACCTGTTGCTCCATCCATTTATGCGTCCATTGGTCAATTCCTGCATGTGCCCTGACTGGGATCAAACCCACAACCTTGATGCATCTGTACAACGTGCCAACCAACTGAGCTACCTGGCCAGGGCCTCTCCCATTCTCACTTCTGAAATCTGATCCCCTGTTCCCTACCTGTCTCCTTTGTCCAAAACTGTTCTATATACCCAATGCTGCTTCATTGTTTTTGGTATTTTCATGGAATAATCATGCTTACGTGAATTCCCCATGTGCATATTCTAAACTTTGATTTTTCTCTTGTTAATCTGTCTCTGTTAATTTGATAATCAGCTCAGCCAGAAGAACTTAGAAAGTGGGAGGAAAAGTATTAATATTTCTTTTGGCCCCACAGAAGCATAGGTCAGAGAAAGGTGCAATTTCCCAAATGGATGCAATTTGAGATCATTCCCTAAATGGATGCAATTAAGGAGTAGAAAAATAAGAGTGATACCATTGTCCTTCTTGTATTTTAAGATGTGGGTTGCACTTTAGGTTTTCTCTGTGCTGAGAGCAAACAAATTTAGAGAACATTTATACTTCTGTGGAGGCAGCCAGAAGCCGGGCTGCCGCCTCTCACCACGGGTCCTTAGCTATTCTTGGGGCCTCAGTTTCTGCATCAGTAAAATGCAAAGATTTGACTAAGTGATTATCAACATTCTTTCCAGAACTAATATCCTCTGGCAGGTCAGGATATTACATTGACATGTTGGGGGTGGGGGTGGGGGCAACAGCACATTGCATAGGAGAAGCAGGTTGCAACGGGACTTTAAAAATCACTACAAGTGACAGTGATGAAAGAATGGGAACGAAGAGGGCAGGAAGACACACATCCCAGCTACAGCTCAACTAGGGAGAGACAGCAAGACTCACACACTCACCGTGGCGTATAAGGCGGAGTAAACGCTCAGAGCAGCGTGTTTGGAGGGAAAGGATCTCCGAGCCTTTGCGATCACTTCCAGGTCCCCGGTACAAATGTTCCCATTGCTGACGAACTGGTGGTGGGCTCTGCAGTCTGTACTGGTGTAGTTTGGCTTGCACACCGTCAAGAAGTACGGCGTTAGGTGCCCAGTGACTACTTGTCCGGCGTTTACAAAAATGTCAGTAGCAAAAAGTCCAAATGCAAATACCCCTAGAAGGAGATTCAAAATAATTAGAAATGGCGACACACACCACCGATCGGTTTTGTCCCTGAGAGGAAACAGCAGCTGGGGCCAGGACGACCTATCGAAAAGGTCCTCCCCAGAGTCAGATTGCCTGCTCATCTGCATCTTTCCAGGGAGTAGGGAGTGGCACCTGCTTCTCGAATGACTCCTTCATCCAAATTCATGCATCGAGCTGTTAGCATAGTATTGTTTCGTGTAAGTAAATTAGAAGCAGCACATTCTCAGCATAAAAAGAACTTTCTAATTTTGGAGTCACAGAGCCCTGGGCTCCAGCCCCACCTTTGGTGACTCATTGACAGAATGTGTACCTGCTATCTCAGAACCACGGTACCCTTGGCCACAAAATGACTGTGGGGAGGGATGCTTCTGCAATCAGTTGGAAAGATGAACTAAGGTAGCTGCAAAATACGGGTGATGGTGCCCAGCTCTAAGTAGTTACTCAGCTTCAGTCCTCTTCTTAAAGAAAATAGCTTCTCCCTGGTGCTGTGTGGAAATGCAAATTCTCCCAGCAGGAGTTATCTATCAGACCAGGGCAGGTAAGAGTGAATGAGGTTAGGGAGATGTCCTTCAAAGAGAGAAAAAAGATCATTCCAAAAACCTTGATTGAATTGGATGTTTCGTTTGGTGTTGGAAAGAGAAAATGAGAAGAAACAAAGAATGTTACAATGAATGTTGTTGACTGTATGAGTTTGCCACTGTTGCTGTAAAAATTACTGTAAACTGAGTGATTTAGAACAACGCAAATTTATCCTCTTGCCCTGGCTGCTGTGGCTCAGTGGATTGAGCGCTGGCCTGAAAACCAGAGGGTCACCAATTCAATTCCCAGTCAGGGCACAGGCCTGGGTTACAGGCCCGGTCCCCAGGAGGGGCTCACGAGAGGCAACCACTCATTGATGTTTCTTTCTCTTTCTTCCTCCCTTCCCCTCTAAAAATAAATAAAGTCTAAAACAAAAAACCAACCCCCCACGAATTTATCCTCTTATAGTTACGAAGGTCAGAAATATAAAGCAGGTTTTCACTGGACTAATATCAAAGCATAGGCAGGGCTATATTCCTTCTGGCAACTCCAGGGTACAGTTCGTTCTTTGCCTTTTCCAGCTTCTAGAAGATGCCTCATTCCTTTCTTGTGACCCCCTTCCAGTAATCGTATCATTATGACCCTGGCTTCCATTGTCACATCCCCTTCTCTGACTCTCTCTTGCTCGCCTCCTATAAGGGCCCTTTGATTATATTGGGTCCACCTGGAATAATTCAGGACACTATCTTCATCTCCAGATCCTTCAGTTAACCACACCTGTAAATCCTCCCTTGTCATGTAAAATACCACATCCCCGGTTCCCAGGGACCACACATGAACATTTTGGGAGAGGAGGGCATTATTCTTCCTACCACACTGACTCCACTGTGTGGCTGAGAATCCTGTGGGCTCTCGGCTTCTACTTGTTCTCTGGTCAATTTCACAAAAATTCACCCCCCTAAGCTTGAACTTGGATAGGCAGATTTCCTTACAGGAAGCTTCACTGTGAATTCTTTCAAAGCCTAGACAGTACATCTACAGAGTATCTGTTAAATATATCAAATGTATCAAGAGAGGCTACGCAGAGGCCCAGGGATGTACAAGCCTTTTGAAGGGATAAAGCTGACTTTTCAAATGCAGCTCAATTATGGGAGAAGCTGGCAAGTACGAGAGGCAGCGTTACCCTCCTAAATGTCAAGGGCCTGCAATAGTTTCAATTAAATTTCTACCCAATTTTGATTCCCATATTCAATGTCTGGGATCTGCAAATTGTGCTGATATCAGCACTCAAAAGTTCATCCATTGTAGCAGAAGTGGAGACGAGTTCGGCTGAAAACGTCTTCCGGTTCTCATTTTAATAATCTGTATCGATTGCTACAATGTTCTTTTCTGTGGCTTTGCTTTGCCAGGATGTGTTTCATCGCAATGAGAACTGGCTTTTTCAACAACTTCAGCCAGCTCCCTCTGCAGGGCTGAGCCCTCTGAGAGCGGGCATGCATTCATTGATCATTTGTGACGATTTTCACCCCCACATTCTGGGACCCTGAATGGTTAGACATTTTTTTACATCTTCAAGCAGGATTCTCAAAGAGCAGGTCTCTGGCTTTTTTGAGGGGGCAATAAGCCTGTCTAGACATTCTTTTCCAGGACACTAGGGTAATTGATGATTTGAAAAGGGAAAAGTGACAGCACTTTCCTCTGGCATTTTATTTGTCCAATGTGCTTCCAATTAGGATGGGTTTGGTCTTTCTTAGAGGATTTCTAGGCTCCTCGGCTCGGCGCCTGAAGTGTCATCTCTGTGGTCACAGTGATTTTGTGACAGGCAGTTCTCTTGGCTGTCATGTGATGACATTGCTGAACAGTCGCATTCCCCTCTTCTTCTCTTCCTTCTCTGGGGTATGTCTACTTCTGATGGCTTAACGAGCATCTGCTTTCCAAACAGTTCACTCTGGTGCATTTGAAGTGGCTTCAGAAGGGCAATGCGGCAGCCTGGGGAGTCTGGCCTACCCGGCACAGGCCAGGCCGACAAAGGGCCGTGGAACCTGCTGCGCTGGCGATTCACACACAACGTCAGATCACACAGGGCTTTTGTGAGAAGCTCCAGCCATGCCTATGACTTAACCCCAAGCTCATGTGTATATTTTATAAGCCTCAGAAGCTAAAAATAGCTACTTTTGTCCTCAGAGTCAGGTGGAACACCTTTGATGGTCTCCTACATTTCAAGGTATGATTTGAAGAGGATGTTTTAAAATTGTCTACATACCCTAAAATTGGTGTCTAAAATCCTTTATGTAAGATTCTACTTCGCAAATTTTTAACAGATACTCTTTTCATTTCTGTAACCCCTTCCTCCCAGTGGGTCCTACTTATGTTGTGGCTCAGCCCCCAAAGCTGTTCCCTGTACCACGGGAGCTGGTTATGTTTCTGAATGAATGTATACCAGACACAAAAGTCTAAAAACAGAGTGCTTTGGATTTGCCAGAGCTATGAGCTCCCAACACTTATTGTTGTTGCTTTGTGTGTTCAGAATTCTGAAAAAGCTTGGCTGGGATGACCAAGAGTCATGGTCTGGAGGACAGAGTTTACCCAAGATGGACAGTATTGAATGATCATACAAATATAAAATTCCTACTGGGACAAGGAGTACAAAAAAGGAGTAACGGTACCACACTAGTCTAAAATAGGAGTATATTTTATATACTCCTATACTCTCTGTCTTCTCCTTAGAAGACAGATCATGGGAGAAAAATCCAGGGAGAGAATTCCTTCCTTTCTCTCCTACTGCCTTGCCCCGATTTAGAGATCTGGGATTAGAATGTTGAGAGACAGGGCTGCTGTCACTCCACTGGATGAGACCTGCTCTTTGAATCTCTCTGAAGCTGTCTCCGCTCCTCCTTCATTCTTCCAAGTGTGTTTGCAGACACACTCCTGTACGACAACCAGGCAGGAAGAGGTGGGGCACAGGCACTGGCTGGCATCTTGCTTCTGAGAGGAACAGCCCCTGTGCTCTGGAGAGCGGTGCATGCTGGGCACTGCAGCTGCGTGGACACCTGGTGTGCGGGGACACAGGGAGGTGACATTCTCTGCAGCTGAGGAACTCCGGCAGGAAATCTGGGGGTTGGATTTGGTGCCGTGCACGCTCATCCATCTCAGACTTACACCCTGAAGAGTGGGGCAAGAGCAAGTCACACTTCTGTCTGTGGAGGAACACTGAGTGTGCACTGGTCTGCCCCACTGAAGACTGAGTAGGGATAGTTGCCAGAGGCAGGCAGGTGGGGGAGGGGGAGGCACAATGGGTGAAGGGGGGTCAAAAGGTCCAAAGTTCCAATTATAAAACAAATAATTCATGGGGTTATAATATATAGCATGGGGACTATAACTGATAAGACTAAACTGTATATCTGAAACTTTCTAAGAGAGTAGACCTTAAAACTTCTCATCACAACAAAAAAAAGTTCTGTAACTATGGTGACAGATATTACCTAGACTTATTGTGGTGATCATTACGTGATACATGCAAATACTGAATCATTATGTTGTACAACTGCAACTAATATAATGTCATATGTGAATTATACTTCAATTAAAAATAGTGAATAAGGAGAATAATCTCATATCACATGGGGTCTTAGAAAATATACTCCTATTTTAGACTAGTGTGGTACCGTTACACCTTTTTTGTACTCCTTGTCCCAGTAGGAATTTTATATTTGTATGATCATTCAATACTGTCCATTTTCATTTTAGAATGGTAGTATATACAAGTTCTGTCGGAGCCGAGTGTATTCCAAGTACCTATTATCAAACCTGGCACATAGTGATAGTAAACGTTTAATAGATATTTGTAGAATCAGTGGGCAAATTGTTGAAGAAACTTCAGGAAAGATTAGCAGGAGAAGAGGATAAAAAAGCAAAAAAAATTGATCACACTTTTAAAGCATATTGGTGTCTCGCACCCCTGATTCTCTTGAACATATGGCTGACATCAGACCATTTAACATGTAAGTTGTAGGGAGTATGTCTCTTTTTATAAACTTCACAAAATTCAGCATAGTGCGCCTAGGAAAAAAAGAACATTTGAAAACTGGGACTTTAAGTGTATCATGAGTCAGGAAACTTAGAAATCACAAGTTTGAAATAAAAGCATTTTATATTTCCAATTTCTATTATAAGTTTGAAATAAAACCATTCTACATTTCCAACAGAGGTACCTTGAATTGGAGGATTAAGATCCACGTTACACGCAGGAAAAACTCCTTAGGGGGGACTTTGTGAAACACAAGGGATCTGGGAGTCATGACGAACTTGGGCACAGTTTTACTTAGATATGCACATCTTTGAGAGAAATGTCCCTATTTCTGATTCTCAGAAGTTGCAATAATTGTCCACTTAAATATTATCATACGGGCACATGGAAGCGTAGCTCCTACATATTTTCATGTGGAGAAA